GTAATGGCCTTGGTGAAGAAGGTTCCAAAAGGGGGAGTGTATCCTAGTTGCACTCATCCATGCCCTTACTCTCATAATGATATATGGAGTCTTGCTGGCCGTATGCGAAGTCCCATGGTGGTGTTAATTTTTCATAAACCTGATATCATGTACTTCACGTCAGATGGAGTGACGTCTAGTTTATGGAAAATATACGTACACTTTGGTGACGTAAATATACGAACGTAAATTTTACGTAAACGTTTTGTCATTTTCATGGCAATAGCAAGAAATTTACATTGTTTGCAAAAAATTGATATCTTGTTCACGTAAACGTGCTGTTTGGGGAGTTGGCCGGTCGATCGAGCCGGATGGGGACGCCGTTGTGGGTGACGGTGGAACAAAGTCGCGGGAAGTTTTTTTTTTCCAGGACTCGTGAAGAATGTGACATTCAGTCTAAATTAATGAATAGATGAGGAGTTGACCAAAATATCCCACAGAATTCTGAGATGAAAAAATAAAAATTCTCGAGAAATACCAAAGACTTACATTTCGCCGCTTAATGTTTTCTCGCACATGAAGCTGAAAATGAATCGGACCTCATCTGCTGAAGACCGTGAAAGTTTTTTTTTTCTCAACCAGATCCTGGCGGTGCAGTTCACGGACGTGGGCATGTTCTCGACGGGAAAGTTCAAGAACACCGTGGGAGAGCTGGAGGTGCGCGCGGGATTCCCGATCCCGCCTCACGGCACGTACGAGAACGACTTCAGCCTCACGCCTCAGGTGGGGACCGCGAAACGGTGGATCGCCGTGGAGGACGTGACCAGGGACGCGCAGTCGCGGAGCCGCCTCGTCGCCTCCATCGAACGCGAGACGTGGAAGGACAACACCTTCGCCATCTTCGTCTCGTATTACGTGAAGGTGAAGTGCGTGCTGTCCAAGATCAACGGGAGCACGGCGGTGAAGCTTCCCTTCACTCTCGTTCGGACGGTGGAGGGCGAGGGCGAGGAGGAACCGGCTGCGACCAATCACGACGTTTAGTGTTCCTCTGCATCTCGTGTGGCGGTATCGCCAAGTTGTCAACCTTTTCATCGTTGTTTATCGTCGATAGAGTGGATTTCGATTAAAGCTTGTTTCTTCAGATTCGTCTATCCCTGCGAGAAGTTTCTCGACCCTTTCATGCAGGTGGAGCGTTGAGACAGAATGAGGCCATGGTGCCTCCCTTGAGACTGGACATAAAAGAGATTCACAACGTACACATGCACGATGATAAGAAAGCTTCTCTTCGTATTCTCCAGGACCATCCTTCAGAATTATACCCAGAGTCGGACAGGCGGCCTTAGGGGTCCCCCGGGAAATTGCCGACAATGGGCCCCGCAAACCCCCCCACCCGCAAGAATATGCATGAGGCAATTTCAGGGATGAATTAAAGATACACATCATTCAATGTTGATACATCGTAATTATGTTGCAAATTATGACTAATAAACAAGCATTTATAATATTAAAAAAGGTCTTTTTTTTAAACACCCCTGGGGAAATTTCCCGGTGGGCCAGTCCGATCCTGAGTGTACATGCCAGTAACTGTCCTCTTCCAAGCTTGAACTCTGGCTAGAAACACTAATAAAGATATAATTCTTTAAAAATGTGACGAGATTGCGCAAGCGACGATGCGTTCGACCAAACCACAGCCTTTTCATCCAAGCCTTCTTCAGGGCTGCGAACCATACAAGGAATAGGGTCATGCGGCCGGGCCGTGCATGGTCCACTCTTCCCCTCGAAACCCAGTGGCATGAGCTCCTTCCGCCTCGTTGAGCTCAGAAGTTAATTCGTCGGGGGTCGAACATGGTTCTTAGCCCCGAATGGGGCTTGTCAGGATAGTAAGTAAAAAGACAATGACCTAACGAGCCTCATGCCCAAACTTAGTTAGCGGAGGGAAACAAGTTTTACTTTCTTCATGCCTCTTCCACCAAAGATGATGTCTCTGGGAAGACAGAAGAGATGGGTTTTTCTTCAGAATAGCTGGTAGGACAGTTTCTTGGGAAATGTTATGAGAAATTCAGACTCGAAAACCCATTAAATTAATGGAATGTGCTTCCACAAGGGATGGCAGGTGATAAGATCACCAAATACGACAATAACTCCCTGTATTTTTAACAGGATCCCTTATCACACAGGCCTTTGGGCTGCTGGCACCTTAATAGGAGCTGGATTAAATGGATTAACATATTGACAGCCCATTCCAATATTCTATTGGTTCTGCACGGGCCCACATAAAGGCAGGGCTTGCCAGAGGCCAACGCCTCATATCGTATCAACTCACCAAGCCACAGGGTTACAGTGCAAAGGGTAAATGAATGGATCGCTTGTCCAGTTAACTGGACATGGGCTTCCTGGTCTGGCCATCGATGATTAGTTAACTGGGCATGGGCAGTCAACGTGTTAAGCAAGGGTTAAATTCCAGAATCTTCAGGATGTCCATGCTGGAGATGCAGTGAATACTAATAACTGTATGAATTTATTCCTCCCACACATGTAATGAGGATCACATGGGAAGACATGAGAACAAAATCTGATCTTCCACCTGCTGAATAATTCCAGAAACAGTATATTTTTGGAATGAAGAAACATGATATGAAAGGACACACTGGTTCCAAACAGCAAAAAAAAAAAGCCAAAGTGAAACACAGTTGATGTCTCAGCAATTAAGAGAAAAAATTCGTCATAAATTAGAGGAACTCATAAATGAAACTCAAATAAGAAAATGATTGCTTCTCATGATCTATATGAAGAGGCTTAAATACTCTGACAAAAGAGTGTATCACACGCTGGTAATGACTTGGTCTCCCTGCTGAAGCAGGGAAACAACAGAACAGATCCATGCACTGCCTTGCAGAACTGATAAATAAGAAGACAGTCTCTCTTAGACTGAATGGAAAAAGAAAAATGGAGGAGACAAACTGAGGAATGGCAAAGAGGAGATTCGTGATTCATCACTGAATTGTTTGAGCATTAGCAGAAAGAGGCTAGATGGCATTGGGCATCATTGCCAGATCCCAGCATAGACTCCTTTGAGATCAGCTGGAAGGGGGCCACCAGCAGCAAACAACTGTGTCTTGCTCTGGTTGTATGAATGGGTGAATATGGCTGGTGTATATCCCATGTTGGCGAACATTTCATCCACTCGGGCACGTGGTGGCTGAAAAATCAAAACGTAGGCACATGTATTTCACAACCTTCATCTTACTCCACCTATTGGGGGTGCATTCAGTTCATGGCCTAAGTCAAGACAAGGCACAGAATATTTTATGCAAATGACTTGAGTTAAGGCCAGGATCAAAACAAAAAAGAACCCTGTGTTTCATTTTTTCCACCTTGTGTGAAACTGCAGTTGATACCAATCAACTTGTCCACAAGGGATACAATATGTCCCCTGAATAAATCAAGAATAACTGCGAAATCAGATACCTGTAGCCAGACTCTTAAGGTTGGGCATGCAGATTTAACACTTTTGCTCTAGAGGGTATGTGACTGAGGTTTGTTTGAGGTCTACCAAAAAATTCATAACTGCAGAACACAAAATGATTGAGACTTGCTCTTTATTGGAAATTGAAGTATAAGTTCTCATTTTATTGTTTTTAACTATTTAAATATTTTTAAAATGTCAAAGGATGTATTACTGCATTCACTGTTGTCTGATGGTAGTTAGGACTGGACATACATTTATGTCTGTCAGATCAAAAGGTGTTAGAAATGGTTCACCATTGGTGGGCAATAAGAAAATTTGAAATGCCCAAGTCATCAGCAAGTTCCTACCAGGAGATATTTAACAATTCAAGAGAAAATATAGTATAGAAGTATGCATTCTCCTTCCTCCTTGAAAGCTGGGGAAATTCATAAGGCCAAGCATATAGAATCCATTTCTGTCTCTTATATCTGCTTCTTGGATCTTATGTAAACAGCTTAGTACAGCATAGTTCAAGAGCTGCTGTACAAAATTGATGCAGTGTTGTGCAAGCCTTTGCCCTTTGTTGTGAAAAACCATTGAAAAATAGAGTATATTTCTTCTGTGGGTTTTGATTTTCTTGAGCAGTGCAAGTAAAGGGAAAGGTCTCCCTTTCCTATGATTACAGCAAACATATATATACAAGAATATCTCATCATCTGATCATGGCAGATAAGAGGACCCCCCCTGGGATTGGCACTGCTGGTCTGCTTTGATTTATGCTGTCATGCTTTCATTTCATACTGACAATCCTGCAAGTTGCTATCTAATCTGCAGAGAATCCAGTCTATGGCACTTCCTTTGCCAAGGTTAAAGGATGCAGTGCATTTGGTACCAGACCATGAAAAACAAAAATACCATACTATTAGCAAATAGTTCTCTTCTTTGGAATCTAGGCATGAAATTCCTTTAAGGATTCATCATCTCTTAATAACTTGGAGTGAATGTTCTTGAAGGCAATCTAGTGGAAAAACTTAAATTCTCTGAAACGTTATCAGAAAAAAAAGAAAAAACTATAGATTTAGCAGATGTCAAGAAATTATGCAATTTGAGGTTGTGGACTTCCCATGAAACTTTCCAAGAACTTGGCATATTTTGATGCTCAAGTTATTGGATTGCTTGAATAGGAATATTTATCTAGAGCAAGGGTGTCAAACACACGGCCTGCCGAGGTAATTCATCTGGCCGTCTGTTCTTGAAATTTCTGCTTGCATTCACTGTTAGCACAAATTTAGGTGAAAAATTACGGGTGTGGCCTGCAGGCATCTCAGGGTAAGGGATGTGGCCCGCTGACTGATTTGAGTTTGACACCCCTGATCTACAGCAAGGTCTTCCAAACTGGGACTTATTAGTCCTGCTCTATTTTTCCCTTGTCTTATATGCATACATGGATTGTATGATTCTTGAATTGCATAATATTGAGACTCATGAAGATCTCGGGAGTCCCTTCCAGGACTACCATGAAAAATAGGTTGAGAAACCCTGATCTAGTGAGATGAGGAAAGTGAATCATAGGAACACCTTCACTATGAGTTAAAATTCTACCAAAACTCTTCACCCTTCACTCTTCCACAAAAACCCTCCTTTGCCTTTATGCATATTGTGGTGGCTGCAATGAAGGGTTTATGCAATCAATGATGGTAACTGATATGCATATGAGGACATGCAAGTGAAATACAGGGGGCAGTATCCCCATCTGATACACTTTTGTGATAATATATGTATCTATACCTGGCCACTAAGTACAAAAAATGGATATGAGATGTCTTCAAAATACAATAGTAGGATGGAATAGGCATTATCAGATATCATGCACCATATTATGATTATGCTTAAGCTTTGAGCCAAATTTATGTTGAGCATTCCTTGTACCTTTATATGTCAGGAATTCTGCAGAATTCCACATTTCCACAGAATGGATCATTTGCCTGGCAGACCATGTAACTCACATTGAATTGGAAATAATTCAGGAGATAGTGAAAGATAAGGAATTCAAGAACATAAGCAGCACTGTTCCCTTTTTGTTTCTTTGACAACACTGATCATATTTTCAAAAGAAGTGAAAATTTCTCAAACTCATGTACAGTGAGAATCAAAATCATTCTTGCATTAGAGGAAACATGGGCAAAATGAGGGAATAGGCTTACAATGATGCCAGGGCTGGTACGGAGCGCAACAGCATGAGGCCGTTCCCATGTGTCATCTGTATTCAGGTATGCCCCTGTACGGAGGTCATAGAAGAAGATGGCCCCGATTCCAGTCCCAATGGTCACCAGTGTATCCGTGAAAGAGAGTGACCTCACACCTGTACAACAAACCCATATGTCACTTTCACTTTCAGATCTTTGGGAGAAGGGATCACACTGAGCATAAGTACACTATATTAAATGCTTTTTTCACCCAGTCACCAATTCAGGCATAGGGAATGTAAAAAGTGTTAAATTATTTTACACATGCACACTTCATGTAAAAACTCATCAGTGAGGCAACTGTCCAAAAGCAGGGGATCCAAACATTGGCATCCCATCTCAGGCAACCAATAAGTCATCTGATAACTAATATTGTCATTTTAAAACATCTTCAAATTAGATGATGATTCGCATATTGGTTATTTTATTATCAGTTTTATAATGATAAGAACTTGGAGAAATGGACAGAAAATAATTAAGAGACTATTTAGGTGAGCCAAGACTCAGTATGGAGTTAATATGGAACATTCTGAGCACCAGAGTTAACTGTTTACTGCTGACAGCTTATTACCTGCATCTGGTTCATGTGCCATAGGTAGAGTTCCTGAACTAAATCATGTCAACTTTGATATAAGGATAGCATTCAGTAATTGTAGTAGTCAGAATGCATTGGAGAGATGGTATTGGGTGACTTTGATCATGGAAGTGTGGGTTGATATGGGAAATTGAGATTTTTGCATTTCAAAGGGTTGCTCATTCCCACAGAGCAAAAGAGAATATAACAAATGAAACAATACCTAGATTCATGGGCAATTCATTTTCCAAGATAGTCCCCAGTCAAAGAGTAAGAGATCTACTTCTAACCAGGAAGTGACAGGTTAACAAAAGTGGTAATGACTCAAGGTTAATAGCTCCAAACATATTCCAATCGAATTGAACCAAGTCCAAAATAGGCTAGATACCTGTTATTTCAGCCCAAAAGTGCTATTACATGACATCAGTGTCGGGAGAGGAAAAGGTAAGGTATGGTGGAACAGGGCTCCGAGTTGGTCAAAGTAGCTATAATGTTCATGTAAAATGTTTAATTATAGAACTCACTGGAGGAGAGATCTGATGCAAAATTATGATTCTCTAGCCTTTCATCACATCATTTTCAGGGAATGTGTTCCTTTCCCTATAAATCTTTAGTTTCATGATTTTCAGAAGTGGTCTAAATGGTCTGCAATTTACAAATATGATTGTAATGGTGCAAAAGGCCATGGTGAAATATTGATGCATTACATGTTTTTCATTGGCCAGGAATATAGGATAAAAACGTCACTGGGGAAAACACATGCATGGGATCTAATATTGAATACAAATTATAATGTGAGCTTTCATTTACAAAGGCTGAGCACTTGGAGATCTGGTCTGGTGATTAATGCTCCTTCACCTCAGACCTGATTCTCAGTGGAACAGACCTCAGGTCATTCCCTGAACTCTAGAACTAGCTGGTGGTGTCATAAACTGCAAGCTGCAGAAATAAAAATGGGGAAGGCACTATGCAGGGGTCTTTAAATTGATTTTAAAGGGGTAAATAATATAGTCATGAGATTTCCCTTATTCTGCTATTCATTATTGATTTCCAATAAAAATTCTCATCTCATTCATCAGGACATGATCTTGGATAAGAATGAAGCGCTAATAGTGGCTGATCTTTATCCAGTGCCTTTTTGTCTCCAACTCTTTTTTTAACGCTGGCAATCAAGCAGACTTCAACTATTGAGAGCTTTGATAGAAATAGGCTTATTGGCTAATATGATGCTAAAATATTGGTATCATTGTTGTAAAATTAACCATATTGAAATTTCTAATCAACTGGACCAAGGCTAGTGACATCATGAATGAAAATGAATTTAGAATAAGACAAACCACAATTGGAGAATTTAGTTGGAACTTTGGCAATGGTCTGGAGGGTTCGAGCATCAATGAGGCTCAGATGACCTTTTGATCCAACTCCATACATCTTGTGGCTTGTATGCATTGCCAAGCATACATTCTCATATGGATTTGGCAGCTTCCGGGAATACTTCTGCAAAAATAACAAATATCTTCTGTATTTGTTGTTTGTGGCATCAGAACCAAAACTGCATCAGCAATGATTCTAATTTCTTATTGAATAGTTTCAGTTTATTATCTGTCTCTATATTAAAGGCATTGAAAGAAAGTAACTACCTTTTACATTTTAATAAAGAGAGTGAATCCCCCCTCCCCTTTCCCCCAACAACATACACCCTATAAATAGAGAGTATTCAGCACATAATTCTCAGCTTCAGATAGCTGCTGCAATAGCAAGAAACTAAAAGAGGAGTCATATCTGATTGAAAGAAGGCAAAACTCATAATGCATGTCATTACAAATATAGAAGAAACTATACCTGGAGAAAGCCACTAAGAATCAGAACTCTAGTTGTTTTCTCTAAGCCTTTTATTTTAAAGACCTCCATTCTCAAGTCCCCCACCTGAGTATGTTGGCAATCAACTACATCTACAATGTAAGATATGATTTGCCTGTCTTCCCTATAGTTACACTTACAATTTCCACAAATATTGATATCTTAATGTAATGATAAGGATGCCAGTGAGAGGCACGAATGAATTTCCTGGGTTCAGTGGTATAATGGAAGCACACCTGACCGGCAATCAGGAGGTCCGGGTTCAATTCCTGGCCATCCCCTGGCTTTCTTTCATTCTCTCCTCCATCCAATCTTCCCTCCTGGTCATTCTCATGGCATTAATATATGAAAAATACGTTTTTTTTCTTTCTGGGATGTGATTACATAATATATACCATTTAACATTCTCCAAGATCAACCACATAAAAGGGATTTAAACTTCTACAAGGTGATTTTGTTTTTGAAGTACAAGAGCCCAAAAATTATCAATCTTTACACATACTATGCTAACGTGTCAATTATTCAACTTGTGATCTTAAAACATTGAAGGCCAGAGCCAGTTGCCAATCTAGTCATACAAAAGAAAAATCTGCGATTTTTCGTCTTGAAAAAACATGAAAGCATATACCTGCCTGAACTCCTGAGGATCCCAGACATGGATGTAAGCATTGAGGGAAATTGTAGCAATTTCCTTGGAGTCACTGTTGAAGAGGACAGCACGTAACTTGTCAGCATTTTGGCATGGAGATGCCACCAAAGCATTGTGGTACTCCAACTTTAAGGTAGTCATGTCCACATTTTTGATGTTGGCCTTTCCAGATGATAGAAGCAAGGAATCAAGGGGGTCATTGACACGCCACAATGCAAGCTTGGAATCTCGTGCACATGTGACCACATGTTCTTCATCCAGCCATGCCAAGTCAAAAATGCTGTCTGTATGTGCTTTCTGGTTCCAAAGAAGAAAAGGAAAAAAAAAAAAGGATTTGTGTTTCACAACCAACTACAGACATGGAGGAAAGGGAATATATTTTCATACATGTCCAACAGAGATGGGTTCCATCCCAGGGAGGCGGTAGAAGGCAATGTCATTCGCATGTGTAGCTCCAGTGGCAAGGACAGTCTGAGATGGGTTTGCTTCCAATGCATGAATCCCTCCTGCCACTTCTACATGTTCAGCATCATCACTAGGAGGAAGTGTTGGGAGAAGGCAAGTCTTCCTTGTCTTGCTATCATAGCACATCAACTGGATGGAAAGAGCAGAAAATACAAGATACCAGAAAGCCTACAAGAAAAAAATTATTGGTGCATGGGAAACAAAAATTAATGCTATACCTACCATCAACATCACGAGTTGCAATTGGATAATTAAAAAACTATGAAAAATAGACATAAAACACTGGCACCCAATAGTGAAGAGAATATCACACCTTATTGCACTTGGTACCAAAGAGAATTTTCCTATGATCCAGCCATTGAGAGCAGAAAATCTTGTCAGTATCAGGAGGCAAGGAGTTGATCAACAAAGTCTCACACAAGTGTTCACCACGCAACAGATTCAACGTCCAGTATTCCTGTTTCAGTTTCCACGATTCCAGCCGTGAAGGGCCCAGCTCTCGAGAAACAACAAGGTCTGTGACATTTGAGGAAAAGTGATGGAGGTCCTGGTGTGGGCAACAGGCATTTTTGTTGAGTTCTTTTGAAAGTGTATGCCACTGGAAGCCATCAACTGAGGACCCTGTTCGCTGGCTCACCACCATGGGACTTCGCATACGGCCAGCAAGACTCCATATATCATTATGAGAGTAAGGGCATGGATGAGTGCAACTAGGATACACTCCCCCTTTTGGAACCTTCTTCACCAAGGCCATTACAGAAGGTCATCAGGTGCCATTTATTGATAAGATCTCAGAGATTGTTCTAAAAGGCACCTGGAGGTTAAAAATGAGTAATGCATCTTCCGTCCTGAAAAAATAATAAAAGTAATGGCATGGGTACCTTATACAAGGGGCAATGCCTAGGATGAAGCAAGTCCTCTTATGCTAACCATTCATCAGCCTACTCTATGCTTATGATGGATAGGTTAATGTATACTAACATAGTGACTGTGGTTCTCTGAACTAACTTTTCCCCTGCCCTCATGTCTTTCACCTGTCATCTTCCCCACACCTTTCCTGGGGTCACCATACATGAAGAAACTATCAGTGCCAGAGATGGTAAGTCAGACAGTGGGCAGATTCATACCATGTATCACTGACAATTTGGAAACATCACCTTCACACATTTGGGGGTTTGCAGGCTTTGGATCACAAGTTCTTCCAGAATCAGACTGCATGCCTCCAATGCAAGATTGAGTGAGTGATGGCCTAAAGATCTAAGTCAGACCTGGGGCTAATCATACCTTTTCCTTTCACATCCCTCATCTACCGATCTTTCTAAGCATTCTGAATCTCTAATTGATAAAATCATTGAAGGCAGAAGGGAAAGAATAGCTGGTGAGAACCCCATGCGGTATTCCTTCGTCTTGTGCACACTGTCGATTCCCGTGAACGCTGCATATGAATCTCAACTTTGTAGTGTGAACGCTAATTTCCAATGAGATATGAACCTCCACAGTGGCGTGCCCAAGAGGGGGGGGGGGGGTTTGGGGGTCATAACCCCCCCCCCCCCCCCCCCCCGGGCGAACCCCCCCCCCCCCCTTGGAGTCAATTTTACAGGTTCGATTCACACAAATTTTTTAATTTGGCCACAAATACAGGGTGGGTTAACAGTTTTTTCATATGTTAACCCCATTAGGGTGGGTAATCAATGCTTCATATGGCGACCCCCCCCTTCCGGATTTCCTGGGCACGCCACTGAACCTCCACTCCCGCGTGATGAAAAATCTGTAACCGGCCCAGGAGGGAAGTGGTCCCCGAACTGGAAGGAGTTTCCTGTTGTGTGTATTGAGCAAGGCCGGATTAAGAAGTTGTGGGACTCGGGGCAAATGGATTCTTGAGGCCCCCCCCTCCGGTACTTACACAAATATTTAACGCTTTTAATTTCCTTCGGGGGGCCCCCCCAGGAAGAGTGGGGCCCGGGGCAACAGCCCCCCCCTTTATCCGGCCCTGGCATCGGGTGACATTCCCCTCACCCCTATCACCTTTCTGATTTCTTTCATCTGAGATTGGGAAGGTGATTCGTGATGCCTACATACAGGGCATATAAGCTTCAGCATGTTCGTGCAGCATCAGAAGCAGTATTTTCATAGTTCCAAGTTACCAAAAAAATGGCAGTCCGTGATCCGTATGAGGCTCTTCTATCGACTCACTTGGCACTACCGCCATTCAGCAGCAGACAACTGCTACACGAAGTCTCCCTGTGGAGATTGTCGGTGACAAATGCATCCTCACCAAGAAATAGAAATTCCCAGATGTAATTTCAAGGAAAAAGGCAATCGTGGGCTCATCTACCCATGATTAGGTCTGCTGGACGTCCATTCCACTCGCCGTTACGCCGGGCAGCGCGTTCCGCGTTGAGCGTGGGAGTCCTTTCACTTCTAATGTGACGGCCGCAGGTTGCAGTATAGCAGGGATGTGCAACCCGCGGCCCGCGAGCCGCATGTGACCTGTGGACCTGCTTCTTGCGGTCCGGTAATGCATGGATAGCAGATAAAATAAGTTTATTTGGGGCCCAAGGTCCACCACAACTTTGGTCATCCCTTAGTAACTAGAGATAGACTGGGTCCTTTCACTTACTTCCTCTAATTATTCCTCACGCGGGGGCGCTAGATATGTTTCCAGGAAGATTTTCAATGCTTTTGGAGTTTGGTCGTTGGAATTTCCTAAGGGCGGGGTGGGGGTAAGGATCATCGGCCAATCAGCGCGACCTGATGCCCTCATATGCCCTGAGGGCAAGAAAGGGAGCCTTTTCTTTTGCATTCTATGGCCTGCGTGAAGAGTCTGGGTGGATTTTTGAACAGAGAACTATCCGATAATGCTACTTAATTTCCAGGAAATATAATGTATTTTCCATGGAATAAAGCTGCATTATCGGATAGTTCTCTGTTCAAAAATTCGCTCTCAGGCATTTCCATGCGGCCTACTGCCACTAAAGGCTGCACACCGCTGCAGTATAGACTCATACAACACCCACAGCCGATCCATTCGCAATTATAAACTCTAACATCGCCCCAAACAGTGTGCACGATTGGTGTGCACAAGACCAAGGAATACCGACAAGGTATAAAGGCTCAGGCACTGAGCAATGAAGAGTAGATGACAGAGGCATGAACTGAGAGGAAGCCCACATGAAGCTGGCATTCCATACCAAGTTAAAATAGTAGGTATAGTTATGTGTGGAAAATGTCCTTACAAGTTTACTCAGGATATACCTGCTTGAATAGCCCTGTGTCTTAACTGAACTGGCTTAAGCTCTGACATTGGGTGAGTTCAAATCAGGTGCTAGTGTTATCTTTCGGTGTTAGTGTCGAGAGGCTTCTCCCAACCACCAGTTTCGGTGTTAACATTGACACCAACTGGAACACGAACGTTAGTACTAACACTAAGGGTGGATTTTTGAGCAGAGCACTATCTGTTCAAATATCCACAGTGGCGTAGCGAGGGGGCGGGGGGGGGGGGGGGGGGGGGGGCCCCCCCCCCCCCCCCCCCNGGGGGGGGGGGGGGGGGGGGGGGGGGGGGGGGGGGGGGGGGGGGGGCTGAAGCCCCCCCCCCCCCTCAAGTTTGGTTCAAGCCCCCCAACTCTGGTAGGAATGCGTCCGCCCCACCCCGACGAGAAGTTAGCCCCCCCATTGACCTGGCTACGCCACTGAATATTCATCCTAAAGGTTGTTTCACACATTGCGTGTCATGCGTCCTTTGCTTCAATGCTTGGGCAATGAAGGCAACTTCTTGGGCAACTTCACAAAACGCAAGGCTTGCATTTTCAATCGAGCCCATCCCAAATCCACACGCAAGCCCTGTGTCTTGTGAAAACCCTTCAATATAAGTGGAGCGTGTGCGCTCGTGCGTCTGCCTGCTCCATAGACGCGAAGGACGCATGACACGCAATGTGTGAAACGACCTTAACATCGACATGAAACCCAGAATAACGGCACCACTTTAGCGCAGTTTTCATTTCTCTCTCAGGTTCAAGGCTTACACGATTGTAGGCTTAGGCACAACGCAGCTAGCGGCCAGCGGCAGACTCCTAAATTGCGATTGCGAAGAACTGCGACAATTATACCTTAGCCTATATCATCTCCTAAGGTCTATGTAGGCTGGACGAAAACTGTCTCCTGTTTTGCGGAAATGACTGGATCTACATCGGAGTTGGAAATTTCTGATAGAATGTATTGATTTTTCAGTCCCTGTATCATTGTTCAGAACAGTGCTTCCAATGATTTAGGATGCTTAGATTGAGAAACTCTTCTCGTATTATTTTGTCAGTGAACCACAGCATTTTCGCAAGTGATAAAATCCAGCACTCAGCTAGAAAGGAGTCTGGTTGAATGTTGAGAGAGTTTACTTTTACTTATTCTCAGCCTGCAAATGGGTTTTATGGAAAAATTGGAGATTTAACACGTGGAAAGTTTACATAGAGTGACATTGAGCAAATACAAAATTATTATGCCAGTATTGCAATTTTCCTTTCAGGCACACAAGTGGTCTTGATCTTCCTTTGGGAAACCTACAACAAACCATTAGTCAATTGGGTAGGACAGGAAATAAAAGGTGCCCCAGAAACCCCACCCCAAGTTTGGACAGAGACTAAGAATGGACACATCAAAATTTTGTAATTATTATTTACTTCAAAGTATAGCATCTAACATCTAGCAGAATAAGGAAGCAGGGATTCAATCTATTTGCCATTCTAATTGGTTCCCATTCTGATCATGACACATATGGCATTGTCAGGGAAAGTCATCCACTGCTTTCTGGCATGTGTCCAAGCTTATGGCATTCAGTTTGATGGAAATGGTATTGATGAGGTCAGGGATGTTACGGACTTTTATACCATACACCTTCTCTTTCAAAAAACCCCACAACCAATAATCACTAACAGTCAGGTTTAACAGCAGCTGTTAAGAAAGGACTAAGCTTTTGAATGATATAAAACTCATTTCCATCAGAAAAAAAATTAAGACAATAATATACAAAACTTGGGGCAGGGTTTCTGGAACACTGTATATCAGCACCAAGGGCAAATTGTACCTCTGTTATGGTCAGGATAATACACGAATTGTTTTGTGTTGCTTCAAGCTCACTCTTGTACTCTCTTTATTTATATTATGCATAAATGCTCAACTAAAGGTTATCAGCTACGCACATCTGGGTTACGTGTTCCACCAACATATTTAAGAGTACACAATTGGGCACATGAAGAAGTGCATATTTGATCATATTGCAAGTCCTGGAAAATATGTTGCAAATTTTCATCTAAGAGTGTGACAGTAGTAGAGCTACATTATGATGGCACTTCCACTTAGGTACCATGTTATAAAGTGTGCACATTCAAGATATCTCGACCCTCTTTTATCTCTTTGAAAATGTCACACAATTCTTGCCTCATCCTTCTGCCAGTCATGTATGCTGCTAACACTGCTTTTTAATGCCATCTGGTGTTAACCCCTAGGGATTAGTGTAATACCCAATAATGAGGTATACCCTTCACACCAACACTGAACTGGGATTGAGATGACAGTGTTTAACATGGCATTACACCAACACCACAGGGTGAGTTCAAATTTGGTGTTAAGGAGTAGATTTCATGTTACATGTAACAGTGACATGGAACACCAACACCGAATTTATCCATTATGGCAGAAATGGTTGCTGCACTCCCTACCACAAATTCTCTACACAAAAACATGGCAGCCTCATATGTGAATCCAAGTCTTGCATGTTTCCAAGCTTCCTTAGTATCTGATTTAACCATGTATCTAGTTCCCTGTTTCTTGAAAAAAACTGAGAATGCCCTCTGCTCATCCATCCCAACATTAACTAATGATTATGCAAGAGACATGTCTGAATCAAGTTTCTTCTATAAGTTTCTTTTATACTTCATTCTCGGCTGTACAAGGAATTTACCAAGAACTAAAAGAACTACATCCTCACCATTTCCTGCACCCATTTGATTCCAGTCATTAAATTTTTCTTCTCTCTCTTTATGATAATCTATTAAATATTTTATATACAGGATGGTGCAAAAGTCCTGTCTCGTAGGAAACTCTTTCACTGAATCAAATGTTCAAACTAGTTGCCTTGGACTGGTTTGCAGACATGAATAAGGGTACTCTTATGCACTCATGAGTCTCCCATGATTGCTGCACAATCTGCATAACAGTCCAAGGAGACCAGTTTGAACATTTGATACAGTGAAAGAGACAAGACTTTTACATCAAGCTGTATAGATATAGAAGATCTAGTGCAAATAGAGCTGGTCTTTGAAAGTCCCAAACATTCAATTTTTGAGACAAATTTGAAGCTCACATGAGAAGTTATGGAATGCAATGCAAGTATGCTCATTTTGAGCAGAGTAGAGAATAAAAAAAAAATGATGATGAATAGAGTATAAAAACTATCAATGCATTCAAGAACTCAGAATCATTATTACTTTGCTCATGGTTCAATTGATCTGACAAGTTCAATTGCAGATGAGGCTGCAAAAATGACATGTATAGACAAAGAATTAATAATCCTTGGAACACCTCAATGGTAACAACACAACTGGAAGCTGGTAGAAACAATGACTATGTCCATCACATTTCATGATAGGCACTGAAGTGGGAGGATAATGCTAGTCTTCCTTCCCCGAGTACATAGGGGATATCATCAAATCACCTAATCTAGGCACATCCTTCAGAAGCTGGCTGCCAATATGCTAAAAGATGGATTAAACCAAACTGAAAACCCTCAATATGGATTAAACAAATAGATCATATTTCTGATAATAATATACAATGTCCTTTAATCCATAGTGGTACGAATTTTGGCAGTGTTCCTATGATTAAATCTGCAAACTATCAAGAATCAACCACTAGTACTGAATATGAAGTATATCTAGAAAATATAGAACTAAAACACGTTCTAATGTGTTGTACGGTTAAGAGTATTTTTGTCTTTGTACTGCAATCAGTTGATGTGATGTCTGAATTCAGGACTTCATGCGGAAATGCCAGAGCTGACAAATAAGACAAAAATGAAGCCATATGCAAATTTTCCACTTGAGAGAAATTCAAGCGATTCTTCAACCAAGAAATCACAAGAACAATAGACTTCATCGAACTTCACCTGTTTTCCTACTGAACAGAGTACCATCACTGACTCAGGCTAAGCCTTTCTAGGCCACAGAAATCTCAATAGAATTATCATACAGAAAATCATATAACAAGCCAAAACTGGTAGCTAATCGAACGTTTTCTTGCCTAGTTCTTGGGAGCGACGTGAGGCTTCTTAACCGCTTCAGAACAGCAGTAACTGATAGCAGTTCGGGACACAATGAAAGTCTAACCACTGTTTGGCATTGGAGTGTCACGATCATCTGTGCGATCTAACGTTAACGACAACGGTTTAGGCCTAAGATAGAGATGGTTCTGGAAATATCCTGAGGGGGCACGAAGAAACCACTCCCTATGAAGTTCAATAACATCGACAAACCAGAAGGATAAACAGACCTAGGTTAAATGTCAAAGGGCGAGAAAAAATAGAGAAAGCGAAGGGATGGAACTATGTAAGGAGACATACTGGAAAAAGCATGCTCGACTACGCTTCCGTGCTGTTCCTCTCTTGCATCATGCATGAAGGCCAACTTTCCCTTTCTCCTTCGCCCATCCTCCACCTTAAATCCTGTCCATCTCCTTTCACTTCCTGAATCCTCTTCTTACCGATAAGGTTTTTGGAAAAAGTATTTTTTCCTCCGGTCAGAGGAACTAAAACGATGAGGCGACTGGGTCCGTCAAGACCAAAGACGATCGACTAAACAGTCTCTGCTTCGAGGGGGAAGCGGACAGTACGGTGGCGAAAAGATTTCTCTTGCTCTTTCGTCCTTCGAAGTTGCAGAATCACGATGGCTTCTGGATCGTCCCTCCTCAAATACGAGACTCCGTACATCGTTAGACGGGTTGTAGACAAGAAACCCACATCGTCGGTAAAGCACTTTCCTCTTTCGGGATTAAGAAATTTCAGGATTTATCTGCGTTATTGCCTGTCCTCGTAGAGGTTCTCGTCATACCTTAAACGAATATAGCACGACGGTATAAGCCGACCAATTTCGAAAGAATGACGATGTACGTTCCCACGCGGGTTTCACGACCCTCGCCGTAACTCGACCTCACTCACCTTGATCCACGCTGACTGTGATCTGATTTCTCTCTGAAAGGATTTGGAAGACTCGGGAACGGGGTCAGGGAGTAAGGAGACCAGCGTGCCTCCATTATTCCAACCCGGATCGGAGGACTTCGTCAATTCCAGTCACTCGGATGTTGTTTCCTCCAAGTCCCCGGAAGACGTGATGAATCTCATCCTTCCTCCTCTTGAATGGGAGGAAGACGGGAATCTCTGGCGGCAGCAGGTAAAATAAGTCCTGATATCCATTGCTGCAAATACATGGAATGAAGTGAATATCAATCGCAAGCAATATGTGACTTCTCAACATTCCCAACAAAGCGACTTTCATATTTTCTCATTCTGGTGCTAATTATATGCAAAAAGTTGGGAATCTTAAACAGTAGTTCGGTCGTCGACCGACGAGAAAGCCTGGAGGATGGGAGGAAAGACGATATGCTATTTCATTCAGGCCAGGGCTGCGCATCCGATCCCTTAGGCTTGCGTCACTTTTACCTTGGTCGCATTTCTCTGTATTTGGAGCACGAAGGAGGAGGATTTTCATACAGAGGGACAGCTCTCATTTATGCAAAGCAATCGCCTACGGCATGAATCAACATTTCCTCAGAATCCATCTGGAACTGTCGACTACCGGATGCAGAGAAAAAAACTGCTGCTGAAATGTTCGCATCTTAAAAGGTGAAAGCTATCGCTGTTTTACCCGCATGGTGGCATCGACACGTTTTCCATTATTTAATATGTTTTTCAGAATTTTTGGTGAGCTTGTTTCGCCACGCAATCAATTTTAAGTTCGCAAGTAAAATACCTAGAAATCCCCACTCGTCCTCGTCCTAGACTCGCTAAAATGGATGTTTTCATTGAAGAATCGCTTTTTATGTCAGTGCCCATTTCCGTCCTGAAAGCACACTTCAATACTGCTCTGCAACAGGATGATCACAAAAACGCGATTGACGAGTCGGAGCGGAAGCGATCAAGCGTGCTGGCTCCCCTTTTGTTGGCATGTTGGCGTGAGGCCAACAACTGGCGGTGATTACCAAACATTTTATTCGCAACTTTCAAATTGCTTCTGCGGCTAAACCAGCTGAGAAAAAATTAATATAACTTTACTTTACTTTACTTTATTTTTACTTAGGAAGACAAGTCGTATCTTGAAACACATTACCGTATCAACGACTGATTTCCTTATATTCAAATTTAAGCAGCAGCTCTTTTTTTCCATACTCACGCGGTATAATTGTTGATAAATTATCTTTTAAATTGTTGCTGTTGAAACGGTATTTCTCCTTGCGAATTAATCAGACGGATTTCGAGAGGAATTACAGCGAAATTGCAAAAATTTTCACACTGTCTTCTGTAGAAATGCAAACTTATTTTTTTATTAATGTAAAAGTTGATTATGAGAAATTCTTACAAGTCCTTTATAGAGCAATATTTTTCGTCGTCCAAAATTTCATCTACCCCGATAACCGCGGTTAGCAATCGAGCGAGGATTTGCATTTGCAATCGTCTATTTTCCATTTCAACTGTTGATTGTGAAGTGTATTGCATCCCGTGCATTACCCTTGCGAAGAATGATTGCGAATGTCCTCATAATTTGTAAATGAGGAGGTTCTGGCTTTATTTTTTCTTCTAAAAGCAGACCCGAAGCTGAATATTTCGTTCAGATTTTTAAGCATCTTGCGTCTTTTTCATATTGTTTAAAATTTATTTTGAAAGTCTAATGGTGATTTGGATTTTTTTAAATTACCGTTCCCATAATAATTTTAGCCTATGACAAAATGAAAAAAAAATTTCGCGACCAAGTTACTTTGTCTCTGATGTGAATTGCATTCCTTTTCAAGCCGACCCTGCCCGTACTTTCAACGAAACGACAGGGTCGTCATTTTCAATTTGATGGTTCTTTACCAATCCTTTCATTCCGCAAATGTTCCCATGATAGGAAATGAACCAGACCGATTTCTGTTCTGCGCCCTTCAAAGTTGTCCAATTCTTGAAGTCTTCAGGTTGACGGTGACTTCCTTTCATCGACGGCGCAAATGTCAGGCGGATTGCCTGAAATATTCTCGCGTCCTTCAACTGCCTGCCAATTTCAAGCAAAGAGATTCTAAAATTCGCCGTAGATTCGCCGTAGCCATCCTCCATTTTGCATGGTAATTTCAAGAACACTCGCTTATACAGGATTCGTTTTCCTAAAATTGAAGTAAATTATAAGCTGCCATGAGAATCCAGTTAATCCTTGAATGATCAACCGGAAAATCACAAACTGTCGCCTATCGAGTTATTTCCATTGGATTTCAACAACCTTTATAAATAAAAAGTCTTACCCTGGTGAAATCAGATCAGCTGAAGTCTAACTGACTTCGTGCATGCCAGCCTCAATTATGAAAGCTGGCAAACTGAAGCTTTAGCAAATTTAGGTACTGATTTGACCTCACGGGTCGGAGTTCCCTGTCTCGTGAGGGTTCACCCCAAAGTGATAAAATAAGAGAAACATAAGTGATTCACAAAAGCGAAGCATATTAGTGAATAACAAAATAGAATAATTTACCGCTGATAAATGGGGAAGTAACGAAGGAAACCAAGTCTAGGACTGTCTGAAGTCAATATTTCTTGACATTTGTGTTCCTCGACTCAATTTAGTTGATAAATATAAGTACTGTAATTGACGATCGTTAACCTTTTCCACTCGAATTTTTTTTTCATGTGTTTTCTCCGGTAGCTCGTATTTTTTACCACATAGGCTTCAGGCTGCTGAAATGGCTTTTCTTGGAGTCGTTGTCAGTTGTAGGAGCCTAGAGGAAGAGTAAAGGCCACCGGGCGAGGAATTGGTGAGGGGAGTGTTGGGTGGTGAAGTATGTCGGGTGGTGGAGAGGTAAGTTCGTGTGACGGAGAGATGAGTATTGGGTGGTGGCTGTTCTTCCGGCATTTCTTAATCGAACGCCTTCTGACTATGCAACCTAAGCTGTTAATAAATGTGATGGATGGATGGAATGAAGTAACCTTTCCTGTCAACTCGAGATATTATACAAAATTACTAATGAACATAATTTACTTTCAAGTATAATTTACTGCCAATCCAACGACAAGCCAATGACTAATTATGTTAGCAGACGCTGCGTGGTGCGTGTGCTAAGAAAATCTTTTATACCAATAGCCAAGTCATTATACTATTGAATACATGGCAGATAAGTTTGGTGCAGCAAGGTGACCCACCCGAGTGAATGAAGAGGCTTTTAATCTGTGGTATACTATACTGCACCAAACGAGTGACAGAGTCAAAGTACCAATGGGCGAGTATACTCGCCCATTCGAGTGGAAAAGGTTAATACTGTTGGCATAACATGCCAAAGATACGAGTACAACCCCCACTGATATGAAAACGTTGTTGAGCCTGAAGTAAGACCCATTGGACTGAATGAATCAATCTGTCGACCTAAACGAGGCAAAGCGATTGGAGAGCGAATGATGGAATGTGATTGGTGGAATGCGAATGATGGAATGTGATTGGTGGAGAGTGATTGGAATGCATCACTATCAGGTGTCGTGCACTCCGGCGACGCGGCTGGACGTGTTGAACCTCCAGAAGCAGCTGGACGCTCGCATCCAGCACAGGCAGGCGAAGGCATCTGGAATTTGCCCCATCAGGAGGGAAATCTTCTCGCAGTGCTTCGGTGCGTTCTTCTTATTATTATGTGTCACATTTATTTAAAATACATATTATTATTATGTGGACTTTCACGGTGAATGCCGGTGTAGGAGGTATGAAAGGGGATGAGCCACATCCCGGTCCTCATACTAGTCTTAGTTCTGTAGGACACGGTGGAGGATGTTGGCTGTGCCCAAGATTGCTGTACGCTGGAGGATGTCGAGTGATAGTTGACATTCCAGTGATAGTTGGCATTCCAACTTCTCGACGTGTCCCTTGAGGTCTTTCAGGACAACGACGGTTTTGCCGATGATGATCGGAACGATGGTGGTCTTCCGCACAACTGTTCCACTTTCAATTCGGAGTATTTCTCTAGCTTCTCCCCGGTCTTCACTTGGAGGTTGATATCAGCTGGGATGCACACGTCTACGAGGAGGGTGGTCTTATTCTCCTTCCGTGAGGTCCGGCCCTATTACAGCCTATGGTGCGGTCCGTAATTATAGGCATGTCCCTGAGTACCTTGAATGAGAAATTCTCCACTCCAGGCTGTGGCTGGTGTTCGTACCATTTCTCTGGGACGTCCAAGCCGGCTTGCTTGCAAACACACCAGTGCACGTATTTGCACACCTGGTTGTGTCTGTACAAATACTCCCTCGAGGCGAGTTCGGGGTAGGCATTTAGGGGGTGGTGAACCGTTTCGGACGAGCCGTGACAATATCGGCAGTGGTCTTCCACACCCAGCTTCAGGATGTGCTTCTCGTAGTTGCGAGTTCTAATGCACTGGTCCTGAATGGCTAGGATGGTGCTCTCTGTCTCGGCTTTCAGCAGTCACTTCTTCAGCCAGTTTTAGGTGAAGACGGAGTCAATAGATGGCTTATCCATTATTTTTGGGATGCTGGCCGTGAAGCGGTTTCTCCTGCCATCGTGCTTCTCTCTGTCGTCGATCTGCCGTCTTCATATCCGTCTCGTCGCAGTCGTCGCCGAGATGGAGTGCGTTTCGGAAGAGGGTGGCATCTCCCTGGATGGAGTGGGACTTCTTCAGGGCATCGCGCTCTCTCAGGATGGAGACGAGTCGTCATTATTACTATCGTCGTTATTATTATTACTATCATAGGGAAGTTATGCTTTCCGAAAGTTCCTCATACGAGTTCTGAGGCAGCGACATACAACTTTCAAAGGAATTTAATCAGAGTAAGGGGTGGCTCATCAGTAAGTTTATCCGATTAATGAATCGATACTTAAACTTCTTTGCTCCTTCGGTAGGTCTGAGCCAGTAAATAAATACGGCCATCAACAGGATCCATAAAAGAAAAGCAAACAAGAACACGAATAACAGTCATCGGCTAACAAGGAATCAATGTAGATGAAAATCCTTCAGTAAACTTATTTATGGGCCACACTGTTTAAGCTGGGCATGCTATCTCTCATCTTTTATCTTTTAGGGGATTCCAGAATGGGAAATTGCCTTTATTTTTTCCCATCTTCCCTGCCTAGCAAAGACATGAAGCAAAAAAAAAAAAACGCTTGAAATAGAGTCGGGATCTAAGCAAAAGATCCTGGTTCAAAATTAAAATAATATTTTTCAGGGAAAGATGCAAAATCATGGTTATTTCGTAGAATAGTACTGCACTATAGTATTTTCCTTGAGATTTGAAATTCAATTAACCCCTTAACTGGGAACTTTTGAACGCATATGTGCGGTGATTCCATTGATCCATTGAGAGAAGGCAGGTGCCAGACCGCACATATGCGGCGAGTCCATTTAAGGGGTTAAAGACGCTCATTTCCTGCGACGACATAGGCGATTACAAATGACCTATTTTCGGTACTTCTCGGAGGCTTCCGAACAGTGGCGTTGCGAGGGGGGGGGGGGGGGGGGGGCTACAACCCCCCAAGTTTGTTTCAGTCCCCCGGTCTAAATGCATCCGCAACCCCCCTTCCCCCTTCCCGGCGAGGATATATGAGCCCCTCCACCGTTCCGCTCAGCCCCCCCCCCCCCTTTTGGCGAAATCCTGGCTACACCACTGCCCACAAGCCCTCCTTCATCATCTTCCCGTCCAATGTTTGCATGACAATTAATGGGCCAGCACGCCGCGTCGCGTCCTCGTCGGCCTGCCTGCCTTCAGAGTACGGAAGATTCTCTTTTCCGACCGACGAAGTCCTGTATTGTCTCCGAGGGTCATCCATCCCGTTCTCACTTCCAGCGAGCAGATTCCCGCCGTCTCCTCCGCGTTCATCGCGTCAATTTCCGGGGGGAAATGTCGGCGGATTCGAATGAAGCTGCAAGAGGGCACCAGGGAAGGCGAACGGGAGGGAGTGGGAAAAAATTAAATTAAAAAAATTAATGAAGCCAGCAGCACTCGGTGTTCCCAGGCGGTCTCTCATCCTAGTACTAACCGAGCCCGACGCTGCTTAACTTCGGTGATCGGACGAGAACCGGTGCGTTCAGCGTGGTATGGCCGTTGGCAGATGATGTAGTCACTCCCACGAACTGAAGTAGACAACCTCGCACTCTCGCGCAGGGCGAATCCCCTTCCTATACGATGATGCTTTGATCCGGATTCGAAGCGACGCGTCCTTTTCTTCCCCTTCCCAGGCACACACGCTCTTCATATTCCAGCTGACTATAAATGGGCCCGCAGGCCTGTCACCTTCAAGAAGGTGATGGATACTTACCTTTCAAGTTCGGAAATAATGCTTTCCAATCAAAAAGTCATATGCGAATTTATACCCTGGCGTTCTAACTCCTCATTTCCGTCGGGTAAATTCCTCTCGTCTCTCGCGGTTTTCCCTGTGTCCCTCGTTTCCCTTTTCCGAGACCGACGCGCATCGAATTCGTGCCCCGTTTCCATCTCCAATTCTTCGGCAAAACAAAGCAAAAAGAGAACGATAAGCCAACGGCACTCGGTGTTCCCAGTCGGTCTCCCATCCAAATACTGACCGAGCCCGACACTGCTTAACTTTAGTGACTGGACGAGAACCATCACCACGTTCAGCGTGGTGTGGCCGTTGCCGACATCCTATCTGTGTCCTCCATCTCCTATACCCTCCTGTAAACATCTACCCCGTTCTGCACGCCTTCCAGCGACTGCCGAGCCCCTGCCCACAAGCAGTGGTGTAGCGAGGGGGGGGGAGGGGGGCTTGAGCCCCCGCAAGTTTGGTTCAAGCACCCCCCCCCAACTCCGGTCTAAATGCATCCACCCCCCCCCCCCTGCCGGCGATGATATGTAAGCCCTCCCACCGTTCTGCTTAGCCCCCATTTGCGAAATCATGGCTACGCCACTGCTTCCGAATAATATTTGCTTGTCCCAATGAGAAGCGAGAGAACTTGAATACATGGTATGTAAGAATATTATGTGAAATATTGGGCATGAATGCCTTTGGATTGTTTCGGAATCGACGTATCAACAGCACACCTGGTTAGGACGTGAGGTTGTTGGTCACACATCTGCCATCTTGCGGTGGCTGAGGTGAAGCATGAGTTGTCTGCTTGGCAGACAGAGGTCTCTTCCGTCTCAAAGGAATGAGAAATAGCTCAGTGAGTGGATGAGAATAAGCAGCGGCACGAGAAGTAGGAAGGAAATTCCGAAAACTCTATTAAATATTCGGTGGTCCGATAGAAAATTCGCCATAGAAATCGCGTGTTTGCGGTTGCTTCACTGCCTTGCAGCAGCTGAACGAGGCCGCAGACGACCATGGATTCCATGCTTTTTTTTCGGATAATCACAAGTCGAGTCGATGAATTATCATGAATTGACCATGACGTGTCCCTCCACGTCAAGCCAGAGAGCTGGACATGAGCTGGAATGAGCTGGACATGAGCTGGACATGAGCTGGACATGAGCTGGACGCGTTCACTTCATGCCAGACGAGATCTCTTCCCAATCTCCCGTTATCTGCCACTTCGGAAGCTCGTCTTTCACCTTCTCGTTTTCCTCTCCATTAAACCGTCCGCCTCAAGAGACCCTAGTCATAATTGAACGTCAGGGCGAAGAAATCACACGGAGGAAAGGCTGCTGCGAGCCCGAGAGTCAGTGAACTCCCGACCGCGATCATTAATTGTTAGCGAAGCCGCGGCGGGGGACAAAGCGGATCGACGCTGAAGCTTTGGCTTCGGCCCTCTTTGAGGCTGAAGCTTTTGGCTTCAGCCTCGAGCGTGGATCTTCCCGGCAGGCGGTTCATTGGGGCAGATGCCATGTTTTCGATCGGAGAGCTTCATCTGATTTGTAAGGATCTGTTGACGTTCTGGGGGAAGAGAACCTTTCAATTCGATACGAAATCCATTTTTTTTTATTCAAACCCATATCTTCCGAAATTAAAAAAAGAAATGTGTGGAATAAAATTAAAATAAAATGTATAACAGAGGGAATATGATTTCTAGTTTCGTGAAGACTGGTGGATTACTGTGAGTGAATGGTAACGAAAATAGAATTTTTTTTTTCAGCGGCTGAAGGAAATGCTCAAAATAAGGTTAGGCAATAAATTCAGGGAGTGTGCCAGAATGACCCCATAGACCCCAATGAAATGGTGGGACGGGGTAATTTTAGCTGCAGTGGATGGGGTAATCGTGGCACTTCTTATCTAATTCTCTGGCTGTTTCCCTCGCAGGAGAGCAATGTGAAATGGAGAGAAACTAAGATAAAAATATTCGCGAGGGGAAAAGCACTTTGAAAGAAAGCCACCGCATTTTACGACATTCCTCTTGCTAAATCGCGAAGTAAAACGGGCTGGAAAGAAACAAAAGGAATTCGTCGAGGAAACCGAGCATGACAAAAGCACCACGAACCAGGCGTCCCAGGGCGAATCGTTTCAACGAGGCCGTGCAAGGAACGGGGGAAGGTCTCGCCCGTCCGAGCGGGAACACTCGGAAGGTGGAGGTGGAGCTTTAAAGGTGGTGCTTTAATCCCCATGGTCGACTCAGATGCATCCTGTCTGAGCGGAGAATTCTCTCACCGTGCCGCTCTTCACTCGACGCCGGATTCTCGAGAAACTTTGGAAATATGCCAAAGAGGTTTAGACAAGCTTTGTGGATTTCGAAAAGGCTTACAATGCCGTGCTTCGAGGGAAGCCACTGGAAGAGCTGCAATATGGGAATAACTGTCGGCTACCGCGAGCCATTCGATCCTCACACCGTGAATGCAGGCGCGAAAGGGATGACCTCGTGACTCGAAGTCACCCTCCCCCCCCTCCCCCACCAACCCGAGAAGTGTCTTCCACTTTCGTCCCCTTAGACTTTCACCCCCGAGACTTACTTGATAGAGAGTTGCTAAATTCTCCCTTTATCTCATCTTGATAAACGTTGGCGAGAGTGCACAGGGGCGACTTTCCAAACGTTGATTTCGCGACTGATAACCACGTCTGCCTCGGCCCTTTAAAAGGGGAGGTAGGGTTAACTCCCGGTTTCACTTTCCCACCCTGTGTGAGATGGATACCGAAAATGATTTGGAGTGGAGAAGAAGCTGCAGTCTCTCATGGATTCAGAAATTCTTGCTCGTATGAAGAGTCTTATGTAGCAGTCAAATGATGGCATTAAATACACAGTATTTATACGATAAATACAAGTAGGTCATACAGCTAAAAAAAAATTGCATCTAAACGAACTGCTGCCGAAGGAACAGGTGGTCCACCCAATCGCATCACATTATACAGAGCTGTGTCATATTTTTTTTCAGATCAATTTCGTTTTTCCGAAATAGAAATATAAATTCTAAAGACGGTGAATCCGAGCCTCCAAGTCCCTGCATTTCTTTTTCTTCCTTATCTTGGCACCCTCAGTCTCAAGCGTGACCAGCCGCGCGATTCCGTGTGCGATTCTTCCTTCCAATTCAAAGCCACGAGTTCAAAAATGTTTAAGTGGCACTTCTGGGCATATGGGCGTCAGACACGAAAATCAGGCGTGGAAAGTGGAAAGTGCACTTTCGTCCCAACTGCGCTTAGGTAAAAGCTTCAACCACATCTTGCGATTCTTGTCAATCGGAATGCGGGGACGATATTCCACTGGGGCGAAAGTGGAAGTAACCGCACGAGAGATTCCTGAAATAATCTTTCAATCCAAAACTGCAGCCAAGAAACCAGTCGGCCTAGTTCAAGGTGGACTGACTTATGTCGCGTGACAAAAGCCACTAGAGGCTCGGTATTCCGATTGCTGGGCTCTCGAGTCCGTTGTCCAGGTTGCTAAAGAGCTCATCGAGTTGGGATGAGCTCGAAAATTAATGAATGAATGGAGTAAAAGGGAAAAGCGCTGGAGAAGAAGGAACCAATCAGATCTCGAAGGAAATTTAATTAAACTGAATTTAAGATATTTTAATGGCGAAGGGAAATTTCTTTTTCTTCATCTTTTGCGAGATTGTCACGAGGAATAATTTTCGGACTCGAAGGAGAGGTCAAGTTTGGCGGCGGGTCCGTTCCGAATTGCGATTGAAATTTCATGGCGAAAGGAAAGGGATGCCACGACAGCCCTCATGGAATTCGATCATACAGGATGCGGCCCCTTTTTAACAGCTAGATTTTTATTTTACTCGATTCGGAGATAAGTGCCCAAACACTTTCAAACTCCAAAACTCCAAACGCCTAAGTTCACCTTAAGCTCACGAGCTTAAGGTGAACTTAAGGTAAGTTTCGTCCATTGGGGGAACGGAATCAGGCGCAATGAACTCGATGCATTCTCTCTGGGCGGGTTCTGTCACTCCTAATGTAGAATTTTAAAAAGTGTTCTTTCCCCGCGATTTATCACCCTAATGACCGGAAGAGAAGATTGACTCTCCGCTTCTAGCGTCCATGCTTTGTCCTTTCTGCTCGGTCTCTCGTCGCCTCCGAGTGCTGCTTCTTTTTCGATTGAGGTTTCGATTGCGGTTTCGATTGAGGAATTTCTTGAGGCCTCGCGAGCTTTCTTGTGTCTCTCGCGTGATTGCGAATTTGAAGATGCCGTTTTTGGCGCTTCGCGTCCGAACAGATTTGACGGAGCGAAGAAGTTCGTAAGCCGAAATCGAAGGAGATTTCTGGTACTTTTGGGATTTTGTGCTATCATACCATCGAGGGAAATTCCATGGCGATCTCGTAAGGTATTTTACATAATATGAAAAATGTCATATTTTCAGTCTTCAGCTAAGGGGTAAGAATCCTAGATTGTTAATATCCAGGGAAAGGGGGGGGGGGGGGAGAGGAACCCAAAAATATTACTTCCTAAAAGGCTGTCGTCAATGACCGTCAATGACGTCAATTACCTCACGGCAATCCGCCTTTAAAAATTTTTGCCTCCTGTTTGTTCACGGGAACATTGGTCACCCCACGCGCCTTCACTCATTCTTGTTATTCTTCACCGACAACGAAATAAATTAGAGACCGGAATTAGCGACTCCTTCCCCCCAACTCAAATGATTATTATTCCATGCAATGCAGACGAGCTGATCCGGCAGGTGACGGTGAGCTGCGCGGAGAGGGGGATGCTGCTGGTCCGGGTGAGGGACGAGGTGAACATGACTCTTGCCGCCTATCAGACTCTGTTCGAGAGCAGCTGCGCCTTCGGGATTCGCAAGGCCCTTCAGGTAAAAAATTAAATAGAAAGCATGTGGAGGGCGATGATTCTTGTGCGATGGAGGGAAGTTCGAGAGGTTTGCAGTCTTTTCTGAGTTTGCGGGGCTTTGACTTTTTTTTGTGGAGTTTCGAAGAGGAAACTTGTGGGAGAAATATCGGTAAAGTTTTTTAAAAGTTATTTCCCAGTAGTACTTTTCTGCTACTTTACTGCGGATGTGTGCGGCGCTTAGGGCTTTAATTTATCCGAGAAAAACTTATTCCTGGCCAGCATGAAACTACCCAAAAGTTTTTCTCATTAGCATTAGCTTCTAACGCAAACAGCGGCAAGTTCCCAAGATAATTTTCTTTCCAACTTTTCCCATTAATTTCTAAAGCATTCACGCTAAAAGGTTTTCCACGCTGAGCTAATGGAAAAGACCCAGAGAAATAAAATGAGCTAATTTCCAGGCAACAGAAACAAATGCGAATAATAAATAGCCTGTTTTTTCCTGCGATCCGAGACAGACTCTTGCCGGATTTCGGTTTTCGGTTGAATTCAATTTATTTGGATTGAATTGAGGGAGAGCGAGCCACTCCAATGGATTCGACTCAGACTTCTTTTGCATCAGGAGGAAAAACGAATTTACAGTTTTTTTCATATTCAGAGAGAGAAAGATGATCATATTTGCATGGCTTTTCCTAAAACGCTTATTATTGCATTTGTGAATGAATGTTGCATTATTCAATGCATGAATTATTTTTGCATTTTCTGAGGAACAGTACCGCCCGCAAATTTTTTTTTGCTTCAGACAAATATTAGGAGACCTGCTTCCGGTTCTTGCATTATTCAAATAGCTGAAGGCTGAGAGCCATAATAAAATATGTATTATTTGCAGGAATCGAATGCGGAAGTTTCTGGCGTTCGAGCGAGAAATAAATGCGAGAAATAATATTCGGGAAATTTGTTTAGACTTGCCGCGGGGAATGAACGCAGGTTTCCTCTCGTGGACAAAAAAGTTTTTTTTCCCCGTTGATCCCTTTCTGCTCTTTCAAAGATTTAATTACTTGCTCTAATGAAGACGATGTTGGCCGTTTTAGACGTTCCGAAAAGGGGCAAGAACCGCGTTGGAGTTGGACTCAAGGACTTGAGGCCTTGAACCGAGCCAGGAAAAAATGCATGATACCATCCTCAGCAGCCGAGACCGACTGACTGAGGCCATCTAACATGGCTGATATAGCCGTAAGGCAGCAGCTTCTGTAATTGGCTATACCCGGCTCGGGTTTCGTTCCATCCGTTCTGGGTTTCCCCTATCAACCAAGGGAAAGAATCTCGGTGACGAGCAGGGGCAACTCGTGGAATGGATAGGCTGAGTCCTCTCGAAGCTAAATTATTCCAGGGTGTGCACATCCGAACCCTCGCCTTCGTGCGGATATTTAGGGAAAGAAGGGATTTGGAAGTGATCGAAGCCGGTCTGGATTTAATTGACTGAAACTACATAATTGAAGAAATCTGCCCACGGACGAATACAAGTGGCCGTAGCCGCCTCATCCGTACGAAGACGTGCAGAAGACTATGAGAGGGGATTGCTGGAGCAAGCGATTAATGCCCTTCCATGAATGCGCAAGGAGTTCTATTACCATGTAGCCAAAGCCCCCCCCTTCCTCCCCCCCCTCCTCCCCCCCCCCCCCCTCTCCCCCTCCTCACTGCCTCACTCCAGAGCTTTTGTCCCCCTTCCTCCCTCCTTCTTCTCGTTCCCGTGTTGGATTGAAGGCATCGGCAGGTAACACCGTGCCTACGAGGAGCACGAGGGGCAGAGTAAAAGCAGTGTCTCATTTAGCTTTTATATTAGAACGAATGAAAATAAATCTCGCCTGGCTGTGTACATCGTAGTACTCCACTTTCGAACTGCATAAGCACTGTCTCGAGCCTCCACCGGTGGCAATTTCCTGCGATTTTTAAATAATCAGCAGGAAAACAGGCTTCGCTCGAAAAAGTTGGTGCGAAGCCTGCCGAACGGCTCGCCCCGCTGACCCCGAGAACCATACGAACTGCATACGGTACAGGCTGTGCATATTCAACCTGCAAATGGCTTCCCACCGCTGATCCCGAAAGCCATACAAAACTACACGCAATGCAGGACATGCATATTCATGAACCACTGCAGAAAACTCCAAGAGCGCATAATGCCCCCGGTGCGGTCTCATCTGAAAGAAGCGGAATCGATTGCGCTTCGGTTCCAACTCTTCGACCCGGCCAATTTCATTAGTGAAACTCTGTCATGGCAGCTGCCCCATGTGAAATATGCGGTCGCTCTGCATCAATCATATTAACGATAATATCGACAACAAAGAGAATAACGACAATGATGATAATTATTTTTATGGGGCCTGCCACGTGGGAACAGGGGAATTTTTTAGTCAGGGAATTGAACAGGCTTATTCCCAGGTAGCATTTTATTGAATAAACATTGAATCAGCATTAAATCAACATCCGAAACTTCGATCAACATCGAATGAATGTTGATTCAACATTATGATCTACCTGGCTTCGTTCTCATCGCGATCGTCGGAAAAGAATTTCCGAATTTCCGCAGAAATCGCTCAGACGTTCATTTTTGCTTTTCATTTAATCAATTTTGCATTTTTTTTCCCCGGAGTTTTCTTCTGACGTCACGAGAGTTCCCGGCAGTGCGTCACTTCGATGCGAACTTTAATCAGGACGAACTTCGTGATATGACAAGCGCTCGTTCCGCAGCCAGCCTCAAAAATGTAATAACGTGGCTTTTCCGTGTCGCCATGTCATGATGTCGGTTCCGATGTCTCATGACATGCTGCCTTTGTCATGTCGTGAGAGGATCTAGGGGGAATTATTTTTTTTAAAAAGCTCAACTGTTTTTCATCTTCGAGTCTGCTGAGGAAAGGCTAGAGTGGAGTGTGAATTTGTGAATTTGGAATTTCGAGTGAGTTTTAGCTACGATCTTGTCAGACATTGAGATCGTGACACATTCAGTGTCACCAACCATTGGGCATTGAGTTCCTGTTATATATATTATGGCGGCTGTTATAGCTGGTCCATTGTTGCCATTTTCGTGAGTAAAATTAAAAATTGGGCGAAGGAGTGACTGTCGTCGTCTAATTAATTTCATTTCATTTCTACCATGGTTCTAAGAAGAAGCTGATAAGATGTTGGTTCTCAGTCTCACGGAGTGGTCACTTGTGGGGGTCACAAGTGGTCACTCGTGAGGGTCACAAGTGGTCACTCGTGAGGGTCACAAGTGGTCACTTATGTAGTGAGGCAAGGAAAAGTACTTCTTTGCAAAATTGAGCAAAATCTGTCAAAATTCCACGCACGATCTACACAGGGCCGGAGTCAGATCTGAGACCATCTGGTAAAACTCATTCATTCAACATCGAAATCACCGAAATCCGCACGGAATGCCAGGCCGTTCTGCGCCGCTTCTGTCAGCGGCATGACAGATACGATGAGTCGGTGAGTCTGGGCTTCTCGGCCTTGGTAGGATAATGGACGACGTCGAGTAAGATCGATGGCGTGGATGCTGGAAGCCGCAAGAATCCACAAACCACGAGCTAAAGAGTCTCGAGGTTTCACCATTTCTTTAGGTTTAACCTTGGGTTAGGATTAAAGTCCGGTTAATCCTTTTCCGAGCCGAGTTGCTCCATGTGCAATCGCTTCCCCTTTTTTTTCAGAGATTTCGGCCCAATTAATTCGAACGATGAAGTGTCGATTCCAAGTTTATGGTCGATCGATGAGCTGGAACTTCATCATCTCGTAGGAATTTTCTTTCGGACGATGAGGAATTTCTCGAGATGCAGATGAGATGCAATTTCATGCAAATCGCCGGATCAAATGCACGAATTTCGCATCTCTCAGTGCGATTCGCTGCCGCGTCTCGACTGGGGCGTTGCGACGCGTGACGTCACTCGTAACGACATGTGACATGTGACGTCTCAAGTAATGGGACAGACCACTTTCTTTAAAGAAGAATTAACATCAAAGAAAAAGGGGGGGAGGGGGAAAGAAAATTTGCGAAGAAAACAAAATCTTTGATGCCACTTTCCCTCCAGAACTCTCCACTACCAATCCGGATTTATTGAAGCATAAAAATCAACAAAGCGAAATGAAAATTCAAATTCTTCAAGGCTGCGAATGTGTAACGAAAGCCTGATTGCAGCGGAGTTTTTAACCAAAACAATTTTAAAATTTCCAAGAAAGATTCGAATAAAAGCTCCAGCGAGTCGCTATGGTCTTTATGCTGCACCCTATTTGTCTCTGTGACGTCATCATGCTGACGTATTCAGTATCGACGGGTCTTGCCATACGAGAGGATTTTCATTATTGCGCACCCTCGATTGGCAGGAAACGGTTTTTCATTTTTTTTTTGCCTCTTACCGCATTTTTGCTGACTTGATCCGTACGATAGTGAAGGTCGCCGTTGTGCATATTAGAATTTCGGCGAAGCTCAGAAGTTCATCGAACTGCTCGAGATCGAGATCGCTCACCGGCTTGGTGCGACGAGCGAGAGTTTTTCGAGTTATCCCAGTTTTTTTTTAACCTTGTACCGAGAAAAAAAAAAACTCTTGCACCGTGAAAAAAAAATGCAAGGGAATAGAGAAGAAAATCCAAGGTTTCGGTCTAGCGAACCATATCGGAAGAGACGGGAAAAAAAGGGAGTGACGGAGAAGAGGGAGACAGAGGCTGAGGAGAAAGAAACAAGCCGAAGAAAAAAAAAAAACCACTCGCCATGAAAAGGGAAAATCATATGAACGAACCAATAATGAATCCATGATCTCCCTCGAATATCATGCGGAAAGGAAGGTCATTTTAATTAATAAAATTGGAGTTGAAAGCGACAAGTCGAGCGAGTTTGTTCATAAACTAAGAAATTTGATTTATGGGGGAAAAAATGTAGATAAACTAATAAATTTGAAATGGACTCATCGAAATTCCGATTTTAAATTTCTCTTTTCTCGTTTCTGATGGCTCGTCATCGAATTGACTCGAATTGACTCGAATTGAATTCCTCGCTGCCAGGCCCAGGCCGGGAAGGAGGACCTCGAGAGACGGGTGGAGGACTTGGAGGACGAGAAGCGGAAGCTGGAGGACGAGAAGCGGAACCTGGAGCTCCGATTGGAGGAGACGACCCGGCTTCACCAGGAAAGGGAGGAGCAGGAGAAGAAGCGGCACGAGGAGAAGCTCGATTTCTTCCAGCACAAGATCCAACAGCTTCGGGTTCGTCCGAGAGCGACTCTCGTTTCGATCAGTCGGTTGCATCGTCCCTTTTTGTTGTTCCCAGAATCAATTGGAGGCGGTGCTGGCGGCGAAGAAGTGATGCTTCGTCTCGTCATCAGCTGCTTCATCTCGTCGTCAGATGCTTCGTCGCATCATCAGATGCTTCGAATTTCATCAGACGCTTCGTCTCGTCATCAGATGCTTCGTGAAATTGCACCCCGACCGTCTTCATGCATGCTAATGAGTTCCCTCCATCGTTCTCGAGTTCTCGAGTGCCCACTTCGTTTTGATGAAGGTCAAGAGGCAGAAAATTGCTGGGACTTCAAAGGCTTGTTAATGAAGATATTTTTTTTTAACGAAAACTTCCGCGTCAGAAATCACAAATTAAAAGCGGAGGGGGAAAAAAAAATTCGAAAATAAATGTAATCGAGGCCGCCCGAGAACGTTCCATCGTTCGGGACTCATGAATGTTATTGCATGGCTCCTGGCCGTATCTGCCAAAAGATCTCTCATCTGTGATGCCGAGGACAAAGAGACCCTTTCTCTAAGAAACAAGGGAAAGACGATGCCAAAGGGATACACAGGCTCGAATATATATCCGAACATATAGAGACTAGGAATCCGTTGTAATCTAATAGAGATTGTATAATACGGGCGAGGGCGCTGATGGGATTACAGGCGAAAACAAGGAGGCGGGCGAGAGAGAGAAGCCAATTAGATCCATACCAGGTCTCGCCTATTATTCACGGCCCGATCCCCCTCTCCATATAAGATCAGAAACGGCGACAGCTGGGAGATTTGTACCAACTTTTAATTCCCTCGGCGTTCGGCCCCGACCTTTCACAGGCGAAAGAGAGATAAGTTTCGCCGGAGAGGGCGGGTCAGAGGGAGAAAATGAAAGGGGGAAGAGGGAATATGGAAGGAGCACTTTCCTCTGATTGCAGCTGCACAAAGAAGAGGAGAAAAAGGAAGAAAAGAGAGTCTAATTTGAGAATCAATGAGGTTTCACAAGTGGCCAAAGGGACACTCTTCCCCGCTTCTTCTTCTCCCTTTATGTTTCTCTTGGAAGTTTGGCCCCGATAATGGAATGAAGAAGCCTTGGTGCCGGGGTATAATCCCCGTTTTCAACCAGATGGTTTCTCCTCCTTTGTCTAGTAATTAATTCTCTCTCTCTCGCCCCGTTTGATTGATGAACTCCTCGCCTCCCTCGATCGCTCTTCCGTCCGAACTCCTTCATGCCGCGTTATTTCCCCTCGTGTTTTGCCGAAATCGCGGAAAGCCCTCGCGCCGATCCGAGCGGCCGTTATTAACGATGATAATGGACATGCATGTATTCGCGACGACGACTCGAGAGGGGGAAACGTGGACATATGGGGAGCATTTGACGGAACGAGGAGATTCCATCACGACGACGAGGACATAATTCATGATGGTCTCGAGAAAAATAGAGGAAGTGGGAGGTATAGCCATCTTTCATAGGCCGGTAGAGCACAATGCCCATGCACTTCCCCCTAATGGATACGTTCCCCTTTTTCTTCTCCTCTTCCTTCGACGCTCATGATGCTCATGATGCTCATGATGCTCGAGATCCTCGTGATGGTCGTGATGCCCCACACTTCGGATATGGCCCCAGGTGGAACTCGAGCGATCGGAAAACCGAAAAAAGGCAAAAAAAAGGTTGAATCTGCAGAACTTCTCGATTATCAGATAATCTCACGGAGAATCTCACGGAGAAGCTCCATGAACTTCTCGATTATCGGGGGGGGGGGGGGGGGATTGCCATTTGAAAGCATGGTAATCCATGGTAATGAGGCGGGGATTCAATGGAATCCCACGGGAGCTGGTCGTCTTGGGGCTTTCCATTATTTAAGTCGGCCGATTCGTCATAAATATTTTGCAGGTATGCTAATTTCATATAATGTTTTGCTAATTTCAGTTATGAGAAAGAAGGAATCTTCTGGTATGGTCTCTATTACTTTATCTCGCTAATAAATATGCAAATTTCCGCTCCACGAGAGGGGAGCGGCGAACGTGACAAAATTTTGATTTCGGTCATTTCGAAGGCGGATGCTCAAAGATATATATGAGGATGTTCAAACATATATTTGAGGATATTCGAATGAAACGCCTCGAGACTCTTCCGTTCCGGAAGCACGGCCGAAAACTTTTTAGAGTCCGGAAAGAAAATCATCTCCATCGCGAGATGATGAATGAATCGAGGCACGAGGGAACATTTGAGGCACGAGGGAGCATTCGAGGCACGAGGGAATATTTCCACGCCATTGGCCTGAGATTGAAGCCGTACCAGAGCGGGTTTAAGGCCAGTTCACATGATCATCGCAGAAGATGCCGAAAAGCATTATTTCCCCTCAGTCAGGGTCGATAACATCTAATGTTGTAACGCCCCATTTGAGTTTGACAAATCCCTGCACTTATGTCTGACAGCCCCGTCTCTCCCTTTCCCCGTCTTTGCCTTTCCACGTCTTTCCCTTTCCCCGTCTTTCCCTTTCCCCGTCTTTCCTTTCCCCGTCTCTCCCTTCCCGGTCGGGCTGTTTCTCTGGGCCGTTTCCATCGTTCGGGAATTTATTCCGAGATGACCCGATTCGAGGATCGTGAACTCTGGGGGAGGAGAGAGATTTCATGCAAATTCGCCCCCTCCGTCCACGTTTGCATAGGGAAATGCGAGTCAATTATATGTATGAGGCGAGAGAGGGCGTCCGAAGTCTTCCTCTCGCGTCGATTCTCCCCTCATTTCCAGGCGAACAATAGGGTTCCACCACGTCCAGTATTTAACATTGTGCAAATGTTCATTTTGCAAGTGTGCATCCTGCTAATTTGGATCGTGCAAATGTGCATTGTGGAAATGTGTATGCTGTTAGGAGCGTGAAGTGGTAGGAAGGGGAAATATATATGAAAGGACAGGGGGGAGGGGAGGGGAGGAGGGGAGGCTGCCCTCCGTATGATGGCCCCATTCAATTTCCCTGTCAAGTGTCTCCTTCGACGGAAGGGAAAAAGGGAATTAAAAATCCGTCGCGTCTCCTTTCATATTGACAGTGCTTCTGTGTTTTTTGATCTTTCTCTCTCTGTAAAAAAAAAAAATGGGGAAAGGACGGGAAAGGAAGGGAAAGGAAGAGAAAGGAAGAGAAAGTTTCCATCTCCGGAAACCCCGGCAACCAAAGGATCTTTATTGAATTTGAGATGTATCCAGGCTCCTTCATATCTCAGCTGATATGCGTCATGTGCACTTTGTCCCTCTGTCGTCGTTTCTCTCTTCCGCTTATTGCACTTTTTATTTTTGTACTGCAATCAGCGGAGCCGGTGAAGACAGGTGGCGAAGACCGGGATCAGCCGGATGAGCCAGATGAGCCGGATGAGTCGGGCTGGTCTCGATGAGCCGTTTTTCGCCACTCCCCAGCTGCTCGACGTGGAATCTGCAAAATTATAAATTATTATATAATAATGATGATTTTTTGGTACAAAATCATGAAAATTAATTAATGAGGCTCAATGAGCGACCTGGGAAATGCGAGCGATTGGAAACTTCGAGCGCGTGATCTTTCCCCAGCCAATTCGCCTCTGTCGAAGAAGAAAAAACATAAATAATGCAAATCAATTAATAAGAATAATAATAAAATGATAAATTACCCCGCACAGAGATGTTTCCCCTCACTTCTCCCAGGGAATTGGCCGCCGCGCAGGAATAAAGCGCTTCGTCCTGCGCCTGGAATTCCCGGATTGTGAGGAACATTTCCGATCGGTAGCCCTCGCGTCTCTCCTCGATTCTGTACCTTTCGCTGCACAAAAATTTCATCCGAGCTTATCGACGCTTTTTTTTTTCTTCTTCTTCTAAGGATAATCCGGATAATCCCCGTTATCGGCGGGTGTCAGCCACGTACTCCCCCGATCTCATTGTTGTTTATCGGAACACGGAAGGGGAAAGAGGCCGATAAGGGCCATTCAGACCATTTCCCCCGAGGAAATTACCTTTTTTACCTTACAATTCACCCTTTTCAACTGTGACTCAACCTCTTCAACGATTCAACCTTTTCTCTCTCCCCCTTCCCAAAAATAAAGGCCTCACCTGGCGATGAGGATCTCCGAGCTGTTCCTGAGCCAATAATTGACCGTCTGCGGCGACGCTTCAACGGTGCACTTGAGCGTCAACGGCGACCCCCTCCTCACCGACACGACTTGAGCATCCTCTTTGATCTCCGCCGGGACTGTGAAACAGCGCATCCGTCAGTCCCTTCCGTGCGGATGTGAGATATGCAAATTTCAGGATTGGAAGGGGACGTGGATCGCCCATCGCGAATTGCATGCCGTTTCCTTCAATTCTATTATGGTAATTTATTTTAATTTAATTTAATTCTATTGTATGTTATGTTTTGCTATTCTCGTTTTGCATCAAGACGGTAAGAAATCGATAACGTGACTTGGCACATTTCGAGAACCATATATCACTTGGCACGTCTGCAATTTTTGCAGTTCCAGGGCAGAAAAGCTAGATGACGACAATTGATACAATACGAGAAAGTGGATTCCGCCCTTCCCCATCGGCAGGCTTTCTCTCAAGATGCAGTCTTTCTTTTTTATAAATTCAGAATTAAAGCACGAGACGTCATATTGGGCTACGTCGGGAATAAGGGTTGAAGCTTGAAAATTGGTTTCTCTCAATTCTTCGTGGAGTTTTGCAGAGCCAAAGAATAATTTTTTTCTTCACGGAATCCCTTATTTATTTTTTACAAAAAATACATGACAGGTTTAGCAGGAAGATTTGGGGAAGAAACTAAAGTATTCCAGCTCGTAGAAGAGCAGCATGACGTTCCATGAAAAGAAAAATATTTGATTGCAAGAACTCACAGTTGACTGTGAGGAGGATCCTCTTGGAGACGGCGGGGGGCACCTCATTGGAAGCGATGCAGAGATAGGCGCCGGATTGCTTTCGATGAACGCCGCGGAGGGGGAGCAGCTCTCCTTCCACCGTATCCACTGGAGAGGGAGGAGGGAGGGAGGAGGGAGGGGGGGAGGGAGGAGGGGGGGGGAGGGGG